CTAGATGCCCTCAACTGAAGAATGAATAAAGAAAATGTGGTACATTTACACAATGGAGTATTACTCGGCAGAAAAAAAAATGGGATCTTGAAATTCACAGGCAAATGGATGCAAATGGAAGAAACCATCCTGAGTGAGGTAACCTAGTCACAAAAGGATAAACATGGTATATACACACTCATATAGGGATATTAGACTTAGAGCAAAGGATTACGAGCCTACAATCCATATTACCAGAGGCTAGGAAGCAAAGAGGACCCAAGAGAGACACACATGGTCCCCCCAGAGAAGGGGAAAGGGACAAGATCTCCTGAGAAAACTGGGAGCATGGGGGTGGGGGTGGGGGAAAGGGAATTAAGAGAAAGAAAAAAGGAATAGGGAGAAGGAAGATTGAGTGAGGGGGGGAGGGGATACAGTAGAGCAAGAAAAGAGATACCATAATAGAGGGAGCCATTATAGGTTTAAAGAGAAATCTGGCACTAGGGAAATGTCTAGATATCTACAAGGATGACCCCAACTAACAATCTAAGCAATAGTGGAGAGGCTACCTTAAATGCCCTTCCCATATAATGAGATTGATGACTACCTTATATGCCATTCTAGAGCCTTCATCCAGTAGCTGATGGAAGCAGAAGCAGACACCCACAGCTTAGCACTGAGATGAACTCCAGTTGCAGAAAGGGAGGAGTGATGAGCAAAGGGGTCAAGTCCAGGCTGGAGAAACCCACAGAAACTGAACAAACCTGAACCAGGGAGAGCTCGTGAATCCCAGACTGACAGCTGGAAACCAGCATAGGACCCTGAAAGTGGGTGTCAGTTAGGAGGACTGGGCAGTATATGGGGCCTCTGGTAGTGCACAAATGGTTGGGAGCCCACCTCTCAGCCTAGACACATGGGGGAGGGCCTAGGCCCTGTTCCAAATGATGTGACAGACTTTGAAGATTCCCCCATGGAAAGCCTCACCCTTCCTAGGGAGCTGAAACCCGGTGGTGGGGCAGGGGAGGAGGGGAAAGAGAGGGAACTGGGATTGACATGTATAACAAGATTGTTTCTAATTTAAATTAAAAAATCATTTAAAAAAATAGGGCTAGAGACTGGGCATGGTGGTGCCCTCCTTTAATCTCAGTACTCAGAAGGCAGAGGCAGGCAGTTCATAGCCAGTCAGATATACACAATAAATTCTAGGATAGCCAGAAATACATAGAAACTCTCAAAAAAACAAACATAAATAACTACTACCAAAAAGAAAGAAAGAAAGAAAGAAAGAAGGAAGGAAGGAAAGAAAGAAAGAAATGAAAAGTAGGACTGAGAATACAGTTTAGCAGTAAATATGAACAAGGCAGATACTTTAAAAAACATAAAGCGGTTGAGGAGGTAATTCAACCAATAAAGTGCTTGCCATGAAAGCATGAGGGTATAAATTTATTCTCAGTATCCACATAAAAGCTGGGTGCTACAATACAAGCATATTTCCAGCACCAGGAGGCACAGACAGGATGATCCCTGGGCTCACTGGCCATCCACTCAAGCTGAATCAGCAACCTCCAGTTTCAGTGAGAAAATACCTACTTCTTACGTATATGTCTAAAAAAAGTTCAGACTTTTTCAAATAAACTGATACATAGACAGACAGACAGATGGATGGATGTGATATATGTATGTATATATGTATGTATGTATGTATGTATGTATGTGTGTGTGTATGTATATACTTTTAGATAATTTTATTTTGATGGTGGTGGTAGTTTGTTTGGGGGTGTCTGTCTGTCTGTTTGTTTGAGACCAGGTTTTACTTGTTTGTTTGTTTGAGACCAGGTTTTACTTGTTTGTTTGTTTGAGACCAGGTTTTACTATGTAATTCTGTCTGCCCTCAAACTCACAAGATCCATGCCTCTGACTCATGAATGCTGGGGTTAAAGGCATGTACCACCCCACCCCAGTTAATTTTGAAAAGACAAAAGAGGCTGAAATTTGGCTCAGCAGTTAAGAGCAAAAGGAAAACATATGGAAGCTCACAGCTGTCTAAAATTCCAGTCCCAAGGGATTCAACACCCTCTTCCAGCCTCCTCAGGCAGCAGGCACACATGGTATCCAAATATACCTGCAGATAAAACACCAATATGCATAAAATAATAGCCATTTAAAAAGACAAAGCAAAATGGTCATGGAAGTAGAAACTATGTAATAAAGAATATTTTTATATATTTCAGTTAAGCAACAACGAGTCTCAAAGGGATGACAGTTCTGATATAACATATAGGACACTGTTTAAAGCAAGCAGTGTTATGACGTCTAAGCAGCTACATCTTGTGAAAAGTATAACATGATCAGTAAAATATAAGGAAAGTGTTACAGAATGGGCAATTATACTCATCTTCACTTGAAATCAGCTGAATATGCCTGTTGTGATGGCATATGCCTATAATCCCAGCATCTGGGTAATGGATAGAGGGTGAATCAGAGTACAAGGTCCTAAATAAAACCCTGTCTCCAAAAAAAATTAGCTAAATGCTATTTATATCTGTTAGGTGTTAGAAAGATAGTATAGTAGAAAAAGAAACAAGGACAGAGTCATACAGAAATGAGTTCAAACCAAATAACCTAGTTTCTTATGTAACTAACCTTAGATATGTCAACTTCTCTGAGTTGGTCTTCTCAATACAAACAAAACTTTTGGGGATAGTGTGAGAGCTAAAAATATGTCTAAACCTGCCCAAGGACAGATAAACCTGTAAGCCCCACCTGTCTAAAAACAGGTAACTTCCTGAAATGCTAGGGGCTATTGTTGATAAAGATAACAAGCCACGTATTTTCACTTCTGTAAACAATGTTGGTTGCCCCAACTGCACAGGATGTGCTCGATCACATGTAGCTGAAAGATACTTGGGCAGGAAGTACATCAGGATGTATGCTTGCACTCGACTGGAAGGCAGAAGTACATAGCCTCATAGATTCTTGCTTTTATAAACACTGGGATTAAGGTGATTGCCATTCCATGGGAATCCTGGGTATGGAACTGGCCAGTGTCCATCGTTCTGCTCCTACTTAATAAACTTTGCTTCAAATTTGGCTGAAAAAAATGTAGTAGTGATCTTAGTCTAGCCCAGTGGGATTAACAATAAGTGTAATATGTGTGACCTCTAACAGCTGATAAGTAATGTAAATCAAGCATTTGGTACATGAACTAGACCACAGAACTCCATCATCAGTAGTTATCTTTCATCCCCCTCTCTCCAGAACAGACCTTGTATTCAGTGGAGTGCCAGTTACACTTCATGCAGTGTCCCTGGAAAATGAAGCCACGTTGACAGCACTGGCTGCTGCCAAGTATAGTTCAAGTTTTGAGCATTTCATATGTAAATGTATAAAAATATGTGCAATAGCATACCTTCACTTTCCATCCCACTCCTGCTTATTGCTATTTTTAATCTATTTCTTATCTATCTCCCCTAGCAATACAAGCACTATATAGGCAGGTTCTCTGGTCCATATTGAACTGCATAAATAAAATACAAGTAATTGGAAAGTTTTTCAAAAGTAAGGACAATGAAACGTGTTTAAAAAAAAAAAAAAAAAAACAGATTAGGAGCTGGAGAGATGGCTCAGGAGTTAAGAGAACTCACTGCTCTTCAGAGGACCCAGAGTTTGATTCCCATCACAAACACAGTGGCTTACAACTATCTGTGACCTCCAGTTCCGGTGGATCTAACCTCCTCTTCTAACCCTGAGGGCATGAATTTGGTGTGCATACATACATACATATAGGCTAAGCCATATTTCTCATTTTAAAAAAGATTAGTCCAAATAGAACACTAGTAGCACAGTCCCTGTAGTTTTGTTTTTTGTTTGTTTGTTTTTCCCCAGGGTCAAGGTAGTGCACAAATCAATTTAATGTTATCCACAAAAGTACATATACTCATAACAGAGAAAATTAATCTAGGCCCTTGCTAAGGCCTCACACAATGAGAAAGAACAGAAGGAGGGGATGAAAAGGGAAAGAAATGAAAGATAGGACTGGAATAAAGGATATTCTATACAGAATCTAGAAGTACATAAAAAGTCTTAGTAATTAAAAAAATAGGGGGATGGATGGAGACAAGTAATGGTTTGTAGTTATTATATGATTTGGATACATTTTTACAAGAGTATTTGTTACCTAATTAGCATAACTTTTATTTTAGAAATGATGAAGAGAAACAAGGCCATTAATTTTCAGTAGGCACAGTATCTCTGGAATACATAATATGATCTTTAAAGAAACGTTCCAAGGACAGTATTACAAGCCTAATGTTTAAACACACTCATTTTTTAATTCCAGGGGTAGAAATGCTATTTCTTTAGTAGTTTTATTTTCTTTTCCAGACAAAAGAAAAAAATAAATATGAGTAATTTTCAAATGCTAAAATTAAAATAGCAAACTATTGTACATCACCTAGCACAATTAAGAAAATAAAGGGGCTAGGTATGGTAGAGTGTGTCTTTAATCCTAGCACACAGAAGGAACAGGCAAGATCTCTGAGTTCCAGGCCAACCTACTCTAAGTAACAAATGCCAGACTAGCCAGAGCTACACAGTAAGACCCTGTTCTCAAAAGGAAAAAAAAGTCAATATTAAACAAAAGGGCCAGTGATGTGGCTTAGAGGGCAAGGACACCTGCTGCCAAGCCTGACCTAAATTTAATCCCCAGAACCCACATGATGGAAGGGGAGAACTAGCTTTCTCTTTCTCAAGTTGTCCTCTAACCTTCACTGGCACACCATGGTACATAATAAGTATATAAATAAATGGATGCAAAATAAGTAAATAAAGTAGAAATACTTCCATATAAAGGACAATAGTCATAGATGTCTAGATGGAACACCATCCAAGGCATCCTTAATAGGAGAGATACTTCTTTTAGAATTATAGAAAAGGAAACAAATGTTATCACTTATTAGCACCTTTTTAGTTTACTATTTTAGCTTACATACACAGCCTCCCATACCTTACATTTACTTTACCTGTATGAATTAGCATCTGCAAACATTCTACAGAGTTGTGAAAAGCTGCTTCATGAATTGGCATCCATCCCCTGTTGTCAGCAACATCCACACTTCGACCTTTTTTTAGTAGTTTCCTTAAAATTTTAACATTGCCTTCTCTGGCAGCAATTCCAACTGCAGAGCATGTGTTTGAGAAAGCCTCTGTAAAATCCATCCTTCCGGTTAGTCTATAAAACAAGGTCAAAAAAAACAGTACTAGTCAGTAAAACGATACTGATCAGCACATCCCAGTGGGCCTGTCTAACATCTCATATGAGAAAAATAGGAAAACCTGTCATGCCACACACAACTTCTGCTATAGCCCAACCCATATGTCTCTCATGTCAGTTCCTAGAAATATTTTTTAAAATATCAAGGTTTATTTTTCAGTCTTTCCCCCTCTGGAAATTTCTGTCAGATCTTTCCCATGGGCTACCTGTTCACACCACACTGAAATACAGAGACTCTACTATTAACCACCATTTGTGCCCAGCTTTACTTCCCCTCACCCAAAAATCTCAGTATATGACTCTCATAAACTATTACCATATGTTGGACTGAGATTCAGGATTCTCAGAGAAACATTTATATTCTCAGTACTATTTCCATCCCACTTCTGATTTTTCCTAATGGTCCTTACGGGAGGATAATTGTCAGAAAATGCCAACATATCTAGCCCAATACTGATGAAATCTTCCTAGAAAAATATGCTAAGTAATTTGTTCAAAAAATGTTTGAAGAAGGAGGTTAAAAACAAGCATAAAATAGTTCCTATAAACTTATGCAAGGTCACCTTTAAAATAAAACTATAAGTGTAGAAGTTAGTTCTATACTAGGCCAAACAGCTAATGTCAGCTATAAATTAATCTGGTGGAATCTAAAAGATATTAACAGGCATTCAAATGCTCAATTAACAGTTATTTCAAAAATACCAGCTAAATAAACAGCAATGAGAACTACATACTCACAGAGAGATCCTATCTCAAATTGTTTACAGCCTCATAGGAATAGTAAATATATGTGGTCCAACACAGATAATGTAAAGTGTCATAAAAGTAGGACAGATTGAAAACCATATAAACTAAAGAATTTGTGTCCACCTGATAAGAGATGTGAGCTATGCCATATTTAACAGGGAAGACTTCAAAATGAGACAACAGGCAGAAGAGCATTCCTAGACAGAAATGGAAAATCACAAACAAGAAAAAGGAGGTGAATAACCAAGGGAAAGGGACAGTGAGTAAGATAAGCATGTCACTTTGGAAGAAGGATTAGAGAAACAAAAAACAGTAGAAAAATAAGATTACAGAGGTAGCTTAAGGCCAAACTGGAGGCTACTTAATGCTAACCTATGCTTTTCTGAACCATACTAACATCTTGACAAAATAATTACATGTAAAAGAAAACAACACACTGATAATTTATACATGTGTTCATTTAAATAAAAGAAACTATATTTCTACCCTGAAAACACACATACAAGGACTCAACTCTAAAAATATTTAAAGAATAGCATTTGAATAAAAATAGGTAGGTATGAGTCCCTGTCCAACATTCATTGGTTCCTCTCTTGGCTACAGTGTTAATGATTTCGGGATAAAATATCATAACCTGAAAAAAAAATGAACATAACTTAATAATATCTCTGAGCTTCTTAAAGGAAAAACAAGTCCAGGAAAAATCTGCTGTTAGAGCAGCAGCCTTCCTTTCCAACTCTAATGACAGCTAGCTGACGTGAGCTGTTTATAAGAGATATCCTTTCATAATATCTACCTATGCTCTAGTGAATCCCAAACATTTTTAAGATAATTAAGGAAATTCGCATATGGGATATTTGATGCTGCAATTTTTAATAATTTTCTTATATTTTTAAAGATTGTGTAGGAATATTTAGTAGCAAAAAGTGACGTAACTTATTCCAAATGCTTTAAATTTTGTTAACTATTAATGACAAGCTCACTCATGACAATGAATATGTATAACAACACTTTAATAAACTTTTCTGTGTACTGAATTTTTCCAAATGTGAGAGGTATGTAAGAAAAATGACAGCAAAGATAAGATAAATAACTACACCAGGCATTGTGAAACTACCACTTAGAAAAACTATGAAAAGGCTTGATTATTCTTAAGTTAATGTTTCCTCAATAGCAGCTTCTGATGACTGCTTTTCAAGAAATACTCTCTAAACCTGGGTACATTAGTATTCTCTAATAATGCTAACAATCAGAAACAGAAATCCTCACAAAAGGGCAGTCATTAAAGTTTCTGTTCTTACACACCCCCTCCCCCAGCACTAACCAATAGAACCTAGTATTTCTTAGGATGCTTTACCTCATGGACAGATTCATGAAACATGTTTCTCCCCAGTAAAATGCACATCCAAACCAAGTTTTCTACAGTTCAGTAATTGGCTCCTGACCTTCTTTCAAAACCCTGTGTATGAGTTTAATGTTAATAACCTTTACCTAGAATATATGCCTTAAAGATTCCTGAAACTTGAGAGTTGTTTTGTTTCTTTACTCTTTAAGCAACTATAACAACACTGATGGCAATATTAGCTTACTTTTCAATAAGATACCAATCAAAGACATAAAACAAAACTCATTTTAGTCTTTAGAGGACAGGGTGTGAGTGTGTGTCTTAATTTTCAATTTTGGGGCAATTTAAATACACTATAATCTTAAGAATACAAAGAACACAGCCCAAAGCAAGACTAAGAAAACAAAGTCTACAGATTTTTCTCCTAGTGCTTTTGAACTAAATTTTAAGATGCTCACCATAACTCTGCAAGAATAAAGCTACCTGGAAGGAGAGGGAATTAAAAAAAAAAAAAAAAAAAAAACCTTAAGAGTTAAGGAGATGCGCTTCTAAAAAGATTGAAAAGATGCGCTTCTGAAAAGATTGAAAAGATGGTGGCGGCTACAGGGAGAAGGGCTGGGCGGCCTGGGGTAGAAGGCTGCAGCACGGGTTCGCAGCCTGCTGATGAGCTGTACCGAGTTCTGCCCTATGGCAGCGGCTGTGGCCGGGATGGTGCTGACAGGGGCAGGAGCGGTGTGGCATCATGGCAGCATGACAGCAGCTGCTCGCAAGGGCAGCCTTAAGGTGTTGGCGCAGAAAAATGACTTGGGGCAAATGGAGAAACTTTCCCTGCGTAAACAGCGGTTCATGCAGTTTTCATCCATGGAGCATGAGGGAGAATATTACATGACACCCCGGGACTTCTTCTTTTCAGTAATGTTTGAGCAAGTGGAGCGTAAAACACTAGTCAAGAAGCTGGCAAGAAAGGATATCGAGGATGTGCTGTCAGGAATCCAAAAGGCACGCTGTAGATCATCTTTTTTTTTTTTTTTTTTTTTTTTTTTTTTTTTAAGAGACCCGGATGATAAAGGGGTAATTTCATATACCAAGTATCTTTTCTTACTTACAATCCTCACGAAACCTCACACTGGGTTCCATATCGCTTTTAAAATGCTGGATGCAGATGGCAATGAGATGATTGAAAGAAAGGAGTTTGTCAAGCTGCATAAGATCATGAATGAGCAAGATGACTTCAAAGACAGTGAAATTAGTGAGACCGAATCCCATGACCCAGCAATAAATAAGCCTGGAATTAACACAACCCTTCAAGTGCAGCGGTTCTTTGAGAAAAAAGGAGAGAGAGAGAAAAAAAACTTTATTATAAAGAATTTGAAGATTTATGGAAATTTTACAAACATAAGTTCAAGAAATGGAATTCCTTCAATTTTCTAAGGGTCTGAATTTCACAAGAAAGGAAGACTTTGCAGAGTGGCTCCTTTTCCCTACTAACACTGAGAATAAAGACATCTACTGGAAAAAACGTGAAAGAAAGGTTGCCAGTAGGAGAGAGCATTAGTTTGGATGAGTTCACGTCATTTTGCCATTTCACAACGCATTTGGAAGACTTTGCCATGGCCATGCAAATGTTTAGCTTAGCTCATCGCCCTATGGGACTGGCTGAGTTTAATAGAGCTGTGAAAGTAGAAACTGGACAGGATCTCTCAAACAATATTTTGGACACTGTCTTCAAGATCTTAACTTGGACGGTGACGCATGCCTCAGCCATAGGGAGTTTCTTGGAGTATTGAGAAACAGGATGCATCAAGGTTTATGGGCACTGCAGCAGCAGAGTATGCAAGAGTATTGGAAATGCATAAAGAAGGAAAGCAGTAAGGGAGCCAAGGAAGCCTAGAAACAAGCTGGAAAGGACCCTTTTTAAGGAAGAGATGTGTAGCCATTGCATTGCCTGAGGTGCCAGAATTTGTGACATTCTTTCAAAGAATTAACTGTTTCTCTCTAGGTCTTCATTGAGTTACTTTGTAATATAAACACGACATGTACTCATTTTCTGATTCAGGAAATGGGGGAGGGGCTGAAGGAGGGGAGATAAGTGTGTGCCACAGTGTGCATGTGGAAGTCAGAGGCCAACGTGTGGGAGCCAGTTCTCTCCTCCTACTGTGGGAGTCCCAGAGACTGAACTTGGGTCATGAGCTTTGGTATCAAGTGCTTTTCCTTGACAAGCCATCTTACTAGCTCTGACTCAGTGATTTCTTCGTAAATTTTCATTAAAGAATATAATAAAAGGAACAGGAAGTATTCCTGTATGAGAACACACAATGCATTGTCAGAGGCCTGTATGCAAAGTGACACTCTGGTAAGCTGGAGGCTGTCACTGAGTTCTTGGCCATGAGAATATGAAATGCTTTCTAAAAGGCTAAACAAGTGCCACCAGGGAAAGGGACTTAATTCTCAAACAGGTATGGATGCCAGATGCTGTCTGTGGCTTCCTAGGGAACACCTGCTACACCTGCAGTGTATCCTATCCTATGTAACTGTTCCCTAGCAGTATGTTCCCTGCCTTGAAAATAACATGTATGTGGCAGTGCCTTGTATTTACATTGATACAAGAAAAATAGGCTTTCTTTTTTAAATTTTCCTTCTTTTTAAGATATAAACACAGTACCCTCTCCCATACATATAGGTGTGGGGGCTCAGCTGCATGGGACATAGGTGAGTACCACACTTTCCTAGCAACACATACACATGTACACACACACATATACACATGATCATAAGATCAAGGTCTCATAGGTAAGATGTATTGGGTTGTGAGAAGCATTCAAGGTGGAACTATAAAGTAGTTGGCAATAAAAGAAATATGAAATATGCCAGGTGGTAGTGGAGTATGCCTTTAATCCCCACACTTGGGAGGGAGACGCAGGTGAATCTCTGTGAGTTCGAGGCCAGTCTGGTCTACAGAGCAAGTTCCAGGACAGGCTCCAAAGCTACACAGAGAAACCCTGTCTTGAAAAACCAAAAATTAATTAATTAATTAATTAATTAATTAATGATGTTATGTTATGGGGAGATGTATGTATATGCTCACAGGTGGGCATGTATGTGAAAGCCCCTGCTCATATAAGTAACCACTCACCCCAATAAACTCATTAATACACCCCCCCAAAAAAAGTTAAGAAGGAGATCCAAGAGAAACAATACATTTGAATCTAAATATAAGGAACCTCAACAATCCATGCTAGTACTCAGTAAAGAATCTACACCATCCTCCAAGTTTCCCATTAACAAACAACAAAACAGTACCCACTGATATGAGAAAGGAACACTACTCAACAAGTGCTGAGTAGTATTACTCCAATTGTGGGGTTTAAGTAATGGGACAGCACAACTGCTTTTCTCTGAGGTGCAGAGAACATTAATTATGAACACGACTGTTCTGGGCAGTTTAAATACATAAGCAGTTTCCACTACAATCTAGTTGCCCTTCCACAGGCATAAAACTACTGCTGTAAAATTTCTGCTTCTATTTGAAAGGCAAAGGACAGAGGATTTTTAAAGGTCATATACGGATTACACTTCCGGGTTTTGCTACTCTGGCAGCAGTTATACATGGGCAGCTAGCCAACTTTCAAATCACAACAAAATGCCTACGTTCCAACTGTGGTGCCGGTACATATGTCCTATAAGACATCAACCAGCCAGCAGTCCCACCTTTTCTCCTGTTCCCTACTCTATCTATCCTGGAAAAAAAAAAAAAAAACAGACAGAAAGCAGCTCCAATCTCAATAGTCATTAGTCTCTGGAGAATTGTGGGTAATGTAGTTCCCCCAATCCTGCACGCCCAACCCCCGCCCCTCGACTTTCCGAGGCTGCAGAAAGACCTGTGGTTTCATCCATACAAACCCAGAGACCACAACCCCAAAGTGCTTTGCGCCACACATGAGGCGTGGCCAGCGCGCCTGCGCTGCCTGCAGCAGCCGGCTACTAGAGTCAGCAGTAGTCCTGTTCTGACGTCGGGTACCGGGCAGGGTCTAGAAAGATGTGGGTGTTTGGCTACGGGTCCCTCATCTGGAAGGTGGACTTCCCCTACCAGGACAAGCTGGTTGGTTACATCACAAACTACAGCCGGCGCTTCTGGCAAGGCAGCACTGACCACCGCGGGGTTCCGGGCAAGGTAAGGAGCCAGCGCCCCATGCCCAGCTACCAGGTAGAGCACTAGGAAGGGATAATGCTCTGAGCAACCTCCTAAGCCATTTGTCCTCTCCTCTCTCCAGAACATGGACACCCTCAGGTCGCTTCAGAAGTCCGTGGTTAGTTTCTTAGGCAGAAGGCACGGGCATAGGCACACTAGCTCGCACAAGGCTGAAGTGTTTGAGCAGCGCCCTTTTCTTGGCAACCTGTCTCACAAAAATTAAAGATTAATTTTATTGTCGCCAATGTGTAAATTCGTTAATATGTCTGCATTGTGCCAGGTTTTTACTGGTTTGAATGTACGTGTGCTTGTAAGTTTCTAGGGTTTATCTTTCCAATGTTTTCAAGATACCTAAGATCATAAAAGAACTAATATCCAAGGTTATTTTCGATTTTTATGCACACGGTAATTATTTTGTCTGGGAGGTATAAGCAAAGGTATATGAGATTTGCAGTTTATTTTGAGTAATACAATGCAAAATCGACAGTACTTTAATGCTTCCTTCTCCATAGTTCTCTTAAACTATTAATGTGAAATACAAATCGTGTGATCTGTTTTTCAGTTGGTCAGTATGAATTCAGAGAATTAAAAGCAGCAAGCACACTGCTTATAAAACAAATTTTACATTGGCTGTAAAACAATCTGTGAAAGGAGAAAAAAAAAACCAGTATGAAGTAACTAGTTAACTTGTTTGGTTAACTTTTATCTAACCTTTGGAGGACTACATTTTGAATGATTCTATGTTCTCTAAAATACTCTTAAAATTCACCTACCATTCTGGTACCAGTGTGTAATCCCAAAGAGGATCACAAGTTTAAGAACTGCCTGGACCTCAAACTCAGAAATTAAAAGGGTCTGGGGCTATAGCTTAGTAGTAGAGCCCTTGCCTAGCACCTGTGAGGCCCTGAGTTCAATTCCCAGAACCATTTTAAAAACTACTCTAAAGCACAATATTCTGAAATACCGGAAAATCAGTTTTCAGAAGAGATTCTTGGAAGGGGAAAGATCAAGGTTCTGAAATGGTTTGTACCTACCCAAAAGACCTGGGCTTGAAATCATAAAAAGCATCTGAGTTAGATCATCCTAACTCGAGTTTGTCAATTAAGAATTAAGGTAGACTTTCCTGGCCTACTGGAACCCAGAGGACAAATGTTTATTTACAGGCCAACAGAAACATCATAACCAAAGAATTTCCATTTCAATAAAACAATATTCAAAACATTAAGGAATTAAGCCAAAGAAAATGCCTTTTGGCTATCAATTTATATATATATATATATATACATACATACATACATACATACATACATACATACATACACACACACACACACACACACACACACACACACACTTTTAGGTAGGTTTTCATTTTAATGACCAAGTATTAAGCAGGCATGTATGTGATTATTGCTGCATATTTTACTTCCTAGACTCAACCAAAATATGTTTCTTACAAAACACATTTAAGGAATGTGTACTGCCAGGCAGATTGCTGGTAACAAACTGTCTAATCCATACATTAAAAGTCCATGTTTATATGTTCTATGTATCACTTTAAAAAGTAAAGCTAGAAGTCAGGCATGGTGGTGCATGCCTTTAATTCCAGCACTTGGAAGGCAGAGGCAAGTGGTTCTTTGTGAGTTTGAGACCAGCCTGGTCTACATAGTGTATCCCAGGTCAATCAGAACTACATGGTGAGACCCTGTCTTGGAGGGTGGAGGAAGGGTGTCCATCAGTCTTTAAAAGGAGAAGTGGTGTGGCTCATCAAATAAAGGACAGAACTGATCTCCACATACCAGCTGTGGCATGGTGCACACTAAATAAATGTAAAAAAAAAAAAAAAAAAAAAAAAAAATAGAAACAGGAGAAGAGACCTGTAAAAGCCACTGTTTCTTTGTGTTTAAACTTACAGAGACTTAGGAAAGGAGCCATTGCACCTCGCTGCCCTAGGTTTAACATTTCTTTCATTAAAAGAAAGAAAAAAAAATCCATTTAGAAAACATTGTAACTTGACTTTATATTTATCTAAATGCTAACTACCTGGACAAGAATACAGTGACAGGACTATTCAGCAATTTGGAACAGCTCAGGTACTACTCAGGACAGAAGCTATGTCAGGTAGTTATAAGAAGATGGATACACAAATATAAGGTTTACTTACACATAATACATCAGAGAAAATAGTAAGTATGTTGGATTTCTTCCCAAGTTATTGTTGGTTTTTAGAGACAGAGTCTCACTACATATTCCTGATTGGCCTGAAAGTCACTTTATAGATCAAGCTGACCTCAAACTCAAAAGAGATTCAATTTCTTCTGTTGGGGTTAAAGGCCTGTGCCAACATTAGTGGTTCCTAAATTTACTTAAGTATATATTTGTTTTAAAAAAAACTGTTTCTCAACAAAGTAAAGATAAATATAAATATAACTGAAAAACTGGAAGCTTGTTTTATTTGATACAGGATCTTATATAGCCCAAGCTGGCTTTGAATTTGCAACCATATTCCTGAAACTCTTACCTCCAGTTCCCAATTCCTCTGAGTACCAGTGTATATACTGCCATACCTGGCAAAAGAATCATTTTAAGAATATTGTGAGCATTTACTAAATCCTTAACTTTTCTACATTAAAAGCATTCCTTACCACCCAATAAAAACACCAATCGTGACTTAGTAATAAAACATCTTCATATTCAGCTTGAAAGACCTCTTCTTAGCCACATATGGTGACGCACAGTTGTAATCACTAAACTGAGGAGGATGAGGAAAGAGAATTGCCACTTTGGGGCTAGCCTGAGTGATATAGCAAGATCCTGTCTTGTCTCAAAAATAAAAACAGGAAAGGTATGGGCAACTTGTGGCTCAGTTAATGCTAATCCCTAGTGACACATAAACTGAGCTGAGGGAGAACATCACTCCTATATTCAAGAGATAGAAGCAGAAAGATCTGAAGTTGGTTCTAGGCCATCCTAAGCTACATAGTGAATACTAGGCTAGCCTGGGCTACACAAAATCCTGTCTTTAAAAAAGGTAAGAAAAGATCCCTTCCAGGAAACCCATAGAGATAGCTGACCCAGAGAGTTCACTGACTCTGGACTGATAGTTGGGGAGCCTGCATAGGGCCGAACTAGGTCCTCTTGAATGTGGGTGACAATTCTGTGCTTGGGCAGTCTATGGAGCCAATGGCACTGGGACCTGGATTTATCCCTAGTGCATGAACTAGCTTTATGGAGCCCATTCCTTAGAGAAGGATACCTTGTTTAGCCTCAATACAGGTGGGAGGGGCTTGGTTGTGCCTCAACTTGATATGCCAGACTTTGTTGACTCCCCATGGGAGGCCTTACCCTTTCTGAGAAGTGGATGGAGGGTTGGGGGAGAGGTGAGAGGAGGTGAAAGAACAGTGGTTGTATGTAAAATGAAAAAAAAAAAAAACTTTTAAATAAAAAGACCCCTTTCTTCAGTTTCATTCGCCCTTATCAAAGAAAGCATTTACAGATATACACTACTTTTCAAAAATGTTCAAAGATGTCACTGTAGAGTTATAAATAAGAGTTCTAAGTAAGTTAGTACAACTTGAGGGGAAAGGTAAAAAGGAATGGGGTTTGTAGTTTAGCAAAGAAATTTTGGTTTTATTGCTTATTAGAATATCAGAGCCTTGAAAGGTTTAAAGCCACAAAGCTATTCTTGGCTCTTAGTGGAATAGGAGGAATCAAAATCAGAGGCAGGCAGAGAAATCTCTAAGGAGATAACTAAATGACAGAAAAGAAACAAACTGTGGTAAAGAGATGGCTCTGAGGTTAAGAGCTCATGGTGTTCTTGCAGAGAACGCAAACCCAGCACCCACAACTGCCTTTGTGTAACCACAGTTCCTACAGGGATCTTATAGCCTCACAGGCATACCCCCAACACAGAAACAGACCTATAGTTTTTAAAAATATTTACTTATTTATAGTAGGGAACAATGTACATACGCATAATTTTAAAAGACAAAACTATCAAGAACTGGATGAGTTGGGCAGTAGGGGAATTCTGCTCGGTTGCAAAACTTGACACCTTGAATATAGGCATTTCAGGTCTGCATTCCATTTCTTCCTCCTTCCATTGAATTACTGCATTTTACCAGTCTGATATTCCCAAAATATTCCTCCTATCATGTCAATCATCTGCTATCCAAGTGTTACAGGTTCCAGTTTCTAATTTCTCCCACATTTCAGTGGCTTGTTTCCACTGTTCCACTAACTTCAATCATACCTTTATTTTTTTTAGAGTCCAAAGCCCAAAATAGGCAAGTACCTACTTTTGCTACCAACACTATGAACTCTCCATTCCTTAAACTCTGCTCTGTGGCTTTACAAATCTTACTCTATGCTATCTCCAGTTATCTTTCTGAATCATCTCTCTTACATGGGATGCCACAAGCAGCAGTCTGGGAACACTGACACAGACATAGAAAAATCACCAGGAATTCAAGGCAAGCCTGGCTACATAGTGAATTCTAGGCCAACCTGGGCTACAGTCAGAAAACTATCTCAAAGGAATAAAGTTTAGTTAGTTAAAATGCACTTAGGATGGTGTAGTCATGCCAGACAGTCTATCACATATAAGAACAGTTAAAAGAAAAAAGACCAATTCTAAGCCAGGCATGTTGGTGCATACCACCCTAGCATTTCACAGAAAGAAGCAGAATCAGGAGCTCAAACCAAGCCTACATAGCAAGTTTGACGCTACTCTGGCCATGATGAGCAAAAATAAATAAATAAATACATGCATGCATACATACATACATACATACATACAGTTAATTCTAGTATCATCCTCTCAATGAGTCAGTGTGATATTTATTTAAGAAGGTATAAAAACAGCTACCTTGAAGCCCCCTTTAGCATAAATGCAAAGGTAAAGGTGCCTCAAAGCTACAAGTGAAAATTCACTTCTTCGCTCATATCTGAGGCCCACATATAGTGTAGTATATGTGAAAGCATGAACCAATAGTTTCACTAAACATACAAATAGTAATAGTATTATCAGGCACTAGACCTACAAAATCAGATCTAATAGGGGTGTGGACCAGCATTGTTTTAATCCATTCCCTAAGTAAAGTGCTTCTTACAACAGATATAGTAAAACTTTATTCTCTGACAGCTTGCTAATGTTTAGTTATTTAATTGAGAAAAAATACTTTCTACCTTTTTCAAAACAGCCTGGAAGAGTTGTGACTCTTGTTGAAGATCCTGGGGTATGGTATACTTATTTTTTTTTTTTTTTTTTACCTAATCTTAAATAAACGTGTTAGCTTTCTGTGTTTTAATAATCAATGAAATTTTATTGGTCATCACAGAAAATTTGAATTAAATTAAGTCTAAAACTCTTTTCTGTATTTGCTTTTTGGTTTTTTTTTTGGGGGGGGGTTGTTTGTTTGTTTGTTTGTTTGTTTGTTTTTGGCTTTTCAGGAGTTTTGTTTGTTTGTTTAGTTTGTGGAAAATTAGTCCAGAAGGAAAGTTACAATCAGAACACACAATAACAACAAAATGCAACCAAATATTTGTAATCTCCTTTTTCACAACTTCTCTAAGTGAGTTTGGTGACTGAGAATTTTGTGATCTTCTTTCATATTAATGGCGACAAGCACCCTACAGCCAGATTATGACTAAGAATTAAATAGAATCCTTATATCACTGGAAATTTGCCTGGAATCTAGTATTTTCAGCAAAAAACTTAAAAATTTCTTACTGACTTTATAAACAGCACTCAAAACTATAATGGGCAGTACTCAGTTTCTTTAAAGTTGGAAAGAAATTTGTACAAAACAAAACTCAAGCAGGAATGCCACCTGCCTATAAACAAACAAGGCAAAAGGATCATAAGTTCAAGGCCAGCCTTGTTCAAAAAGCTAGTCCTTATCTGAAAATAATAATAATAATAATAATAATAATAATAATAATAATAATAAAACCATTAGTAGCTTTAGTTATAGTCTGAATTACAAAATGCTTCCAGAGATTTATAGTGGGAGAGGCATCTGAAAGTACCTTATCCTCAAACCAGTAACTATAACTCCTAGACAACAAATGGCACTTTCCTTCCACACAATTTCTTGATGGAATTTAAACAAACATTTGATATTAGTTTAAAACTAAGACCTAATATAAAAATTTGATGGAAGAGACCTATCATTCTGTGCTTGATAAGAATCAATCCCTTATTCAGAATAAAGGGTCTAAATGCTGTTTTCCTTAATTGTTTATTGTCTACCCCTTTGAGGTACTTGTAAACAAAACTGCATTGACTTCTAAGACTACAAAATATACTAAGTCATAATATATCTTCACCTACTTTGATAGCACTGTAAGTATAAAACAGTGTATTCTTTTCATTTTTCAACAGGGCAGTGTATGGGGTGTTGCTTACAAACTACCAGTAGGAAAAGAAGAGGAAGTAAAAACATACCTTGACTTCAGAGAGAAAGGAGGCTACAGAACTACAACAGTCATTTTTAATCCAAAAGATCCCACAAGAAAACCATTCAGTGTTTTGCTCTACATTGGAACATGTGACAATCCTAACTATCTGGGTCCTGCACCTCTGGAAGACATAGCTGAACAAATTTTTAATGCATCTGGTCCAAGTGGAAGAAACACAGAATATCTTTTTGAACTTGCAGATTCTATTAGGAAACTTGTGCCAGAAGATGCAGATGAGCATCTCTTCTCTTTGGAAAAATTAGTAAAGGAACGTTTAGAAGGAAAATAGAACCTCAGTAGCACATAGTCACCATCTCTTCCAAACAGGCAAAGGGGCATTCTTACTTGAACATCTTAGTATTTAATGTTGTAATTGGAATATCATCTAACTTGACTGTTTATTACAAATGTCCTAAAACATATTCAGAAGATTTGCATACAGAGAAAGAAAGAGTTGAAGTTAAACAAGTGACTTCCTAACTAAATGACACAAGAACATTTGTTCACTGGAAATACAGGTCTCAATTCACTTCCTGTTTTTTTTATCAGAGTAATCATGGTTTATAGTATATATGCTTAAAATAATGTTATTAGAAATATATGGTTATAGATAAGATTCCAGCACTGACTGTTAATTCCCTTGTAATTTCGGATTAAATGAAAGTCAAATTTAGGCCAAAAGAAATTGGGTTTGTTAATATAAAATTTTCCTTAGAATTATAATATGCTATCTTCTCTTTTGGGGGGAAAAGGCATCTTACTAGAAAGTACAACTAGGTTATATAAATCACATCCACTAATAATAATGTAATTTTGCATTTCTCATAATGAAACTTGAAAAAAAAAAAGGTTTTCTGATTTACCAGTTAGTGGAAACATAATGAAAATGGTGTCTGAGTTTATAACTGTAATGTCTCAAGTGTCATTTCCTGATTATATTATGTATGCTTTTTTTATTTTTTACATCTTGTCACATAACTATTTTTATGGCTACTTAATAGGGAAGTTAATTCTTAAATTATTGGCATAAAATTAGCCTTGATTTAAGATAATTAGGTGACTTCTTTAATTAAGTTTTTCTAGAATCAACCCTGAAAGATTTTTAGTTTCATATGAAGTCTCATATTAGGTTTAAGAACTCATCAGATATCAATACCTAATATCCCAGAACTGGGGAAGTTAAAAAAGAAAGACTACCCTGAGTTCAAAGCAAGCTTAGACTTCAGAGTCAGACCCTGTCTCAAAAGAATAAGCCAGGCACAATGGATCACACCTGTAACCAATAACTGAATACTCTGAAAACTTAAATAGGAGGATCCACAAGCATTCAGGGCCAGCCAAGGCTACAAAGTGAGACCTTGTCTCAAAAAGGGCAAACAAAACTTCTCAACTAATATTTCACATGAAAAAAATACAGTAGAAAGTTATACCCCTTATCAATTTACTCAGATATCTTTTAAGTATTTTTCTAATATTTTAAATTATTAGTTTACAAGGCTGCATTTCATGTATTGAGTACTATAGAAGGTTATTACTAGCATTTATTAATATCTAATAACATGATGTGCAATTTACATAGGAAAACATATTCTCAGTTTTTAAGAACCCCTCTAAGACTGTTTCTATCATTTGCACTCATTTAGGAACTTAACAAATGCAGAAATCTAGGTCTCTCTAAACCAAAAAATTCTACAGTGTATTTAGAAATACAGAACCTAGCTTTTTCACTACCCAGAATCCCCCAGGAAATAAAGAGATTAGCATGTTTATAGAAATATGCAAAGTTAATTTTGAGAGCTCTGTATCTGTTCTCACCAATATAATGTTAAGATTGACAAGCTTCAGCCCAAAATCACAAACCAATTTACAAACACATCAGTGAGGTTACAAAATGTCAAGAATAATTCTGGGATTTCTGTTTTTGCCTTTCTAGGATTTCCATTAGAAGTTAAGCTAAGTCAAGCAGTGGTGGCACACACTTTTAATCCTGGGGGATCTGACTTTCAAGGCCAGCCTAGTCTAGAGAGTGAGTTCCAGAAGGAATTCTGTTAGAGGTGGAGGGTTGGGTTTTGGGAAGAGTTAAGCTAGAAAATACATTAACACATGTGGTATATCATCAGCATCATGAATATTTACAGGAACGCCACGTCCTTAAAAGGCCAGGAAAGGAATATTCATTGTCAGGTTGGGTAGGAAACTTAATGAAATGAAGAAATTAAATAGCACTTTATAGCTCTCGATCCAATTTAAAAATGTTCTGCTTCATTCTGCCCTAATTGCATACACAGATGCAGGCTTTTGTGCCCCATGGTAGAAATAATAGATAGCTAGACATTAACAAAAGTATGACCATAAACATTATACTTAGAAAAGAAACTATTCTGTCAGGCTTAGTTTGGTTTTGCTTTTGAGGTATGTATGGTCTTGCTGTTTTATTGGGCTGACCTGAAATTCAATACTATCTCAGCCTTTGATCTGTTGGGATTATATACATGTGCTACCTTGTCTGGAGGGGAAGAGAGAGAGGTGTGTGTAAGAGAAAGTGATCAAAGTATGTGGGGATAATATACTTCCCTTAACATTCACTGGCCAGGGGACAACTCCATGAAGTTGTTTTTCTTCTTTCATACTTAACAACTCATGTTGTTGGGCTTTCACAGTGGGCACTTTTACTCATTTAGCCACCTCGATGGCCCTTGAGTGGATTTCTAAACATCTGATCTTTCTACTCTTTTGTTTTTGTTTGTTTTGGCTATTTGGCTGGTTGGTTTTTTTTGTTTGTTTGTTTTTTGTTTTTATTTTCTTTGGATGTTTTTGAGATGGCACCTTATAATGTAGCTATGATTATCCTGGAACTCATTTGTAGACCAGGCTGGCCTCAAAGTCACAGAAACCAAACTAACTCTGCCTCCCAAGTGCTGGGATTAAAGGTATGCAGCACCAGGCCTGACCTAGATCTTTCTACTCTTAGCCCACTATTGTTACTTTTTTTCTGTCTCAAGCAACACATTCCCTTGTCAACTGACTACTGACTAAGTACCATCTAGACAAGAATTCCATATTGAAAAAGTTATTTAGAGAAATAGGAAGTGATAATTTTCAATTCTATTTGGTAAATTGATCTATTTTGCTAAAACTTCTTTCAAAGTTTGACAGCTTCCAATATACATTTTTATCTTGAAAAAGGAAAAGTAAGAAATTTCTTAATAAAATACCTGACATGCATATTATATATCTTCATAGTATCTAGTGAATTTTAATGTTTATTACAGTGTGTGATAGGATGCTTAATGAATATTACCTATTCTTAATAAATATTACAACTGTACTTTATAACATATGTTCCAATCAACATAGGTTCAATATACAAAATTCATGACCAAAAACATACCTACAGTTTGAGAATCATTTTTGATCTGTCAGATATTCTTTCAGTATTTTCCCAATCAATAGTTCTTTTGATTGGCACTAAATTTCTCTTTTCTATGGTATATCTTTTTAAAATTGTATCTTAGGAGAATACTTTATCTGTGAGCAAGTGACATCCCTAACCACTCAGCAGCTGTTAAACATCACATTACTATAATGCACCATTGATTCTTCCAAGTCAGCTATGATGAACATGTTTTTAAATGCCCTTTCACCACAGCAGATGGAAATGGTGGTGCATGCCTATAACCCCAGTTCTTGAAAGGCTTAGGCAAGAACATCATGAGTACAAGGCCATCCTGACCCAAAAAAAAAAAATTCTACTGATTTGCCCTTTAGCAATTCATTTTTATGCAATCCTACTTGGAACCCACTTGTGATTTGAATAAGAATGTCCTCAAAGATTCATGTTTGAATACTAGGTCTCCAGTTGGTAGCTATTTGGAAGCACTAGCAGGTGTGACCTTGCTGGAGGAAATATCACTGGGGACAGGCTTTTGAGTTAGCTCTCTTTACCTCCTGTGTGTGGATCAAAATGTGAGTTCTCAGGTTTTCTGCCTCCATGCCTTTGCACCACCATCATAGACTCTAACCCTTTGAAACTGTAAGCCCAATTAAACCCTTTATTTTATAGTTTGCCTTTGTAATTTTGTCATAGTTATGTCACAGCAATAGAAAAGTAATTAAGAAGTTGAAGACTTTTTTAATCTTGTAGCTTATATATCAAACACTTTAAATCTTCTAAAAGTGGCTAATAAAATTATTCCTTTGTACATCAAATTTATAAATAAAAATTGTATAACTTAAAATTTCATTACTTTGTCAATAAGATTCACTTTCACCTTTCTAAAACATTACATTAAGCATCACTTTCTTTTTTTATTATTATTTATATTGTACATCCTCTTATATATAGTTTTCCTATACACTGAAAAATCCACCACTTAATCCTAAAGTTCCTTATTAAAACTTTCTTCTCCTTCACAAAAATGTCTTAAATACACAATGATATTCTACTTCTTTAACAACTCACCTGAACCTCCAAACCAACTTTGCTGTAATGCTCCAATCATTTAAGTCTCAAATCTCCAGACATTAGTGGTCAAGTATAAGCAGTAGTACATTGAGATGTACTTAGTACCAGCACCTTGGGTTCCTTCAGAGGTAAACTGATCCCAAGTACACATATGAATTAATTAAAAAAATTAACATTGGACTGGGAGACTAAAATAGCAACTGGTTGACAGAAAGTAATTATAGAACATCAAAGGGCAGCTGGAAGAGATAGAGAGATGCACTGGATGAGTGGCACAGCTTTTTACTGGTTTGGTGGAGTGGAAGGAGGGTCTTTCAGAAATGCCAGCAAGGAGAAAAGATTAGCTATTTGCTACTCAAGATCTCTGAGCTAGCAGATTTTCACCCCAGCCTTTGAATCTCTAATCTTATTTGTAAATAAAAAGGATAAAGATTTAGTTAAAACTACCTTTAAGTGGCAGCGATAGAGCCAGGGACTGCAGCAACAGAATTTGTGCCATGCTGCATCCTGAGCAGCCAGGCTACTGCCAGAGAAGCAGGCCCATAAATATAGAGTCTCAATTGCTGGCTGAAACAGCAGTAGATTAAGGCACAGCCATTGTGCTGAAGAGAAAACAGCAGGACCCAAAAAAGGCAGTTAAATAAAACATTCTTAATTCTATTTTTATTAATAAAATAAAAATATGGTTTATATATATATACATATATATACATATATATGTACACAGTAATGTCAAGATTTATGAATAAATGGAATCAACAAATTAATGTCTCGGTCACCTCTACAAGAAATCGAAATTTACTCTTGGCCAACAGTGAGAATTCATGTATATGTTCCCAGGATTCAGGAGGTTAAACTGGAGGATTGAGAGTTCATGGCCCAAAAAAAACAATAATTAATTTCTGTAGAAATTTGGAACTGTATACAATATACGTCATTTCCCCATTCTTCCTACTTATAACACATCCTCTAGAAACCACTACGATAGTCTCTGCCTCCTAGAATTGGCTTGCTTTTGATTCCACATGTGGAAACTTGTGATATCTTTCTGTGCCTAGTTACTTTAACTTAACATACTAACTTCCAGTTTCATCCATGTTGTCACATATTACACATTTTTTTCAAAGTCTGAATAGGATAGCATAGCAAATGAAATGAAAAAAAAGAGAGAGAGAGAAAGAGAGAGAGAACCTGAGGCTGGGCATTATCTTACAATCCCAACACTCATAAATTAGAGTCAGGAAGATCTCAAATCCAA